ATCCACTGTATCCACTGTATCCACTGTATCCACTGTATCCACTGTATCCTAGTGTATCCATTGTATCCAGTGTACCCTAGTGTATCCACTGTATCTACTGTATCCACTGTATCCACTGTATCCTAGTGTATCCATTGTATCCAGTGTATCCTAGTGTATCGACTGTATCCTAGTGTATCCATTGTATCCAGTGTACCCTAGTGTATCCACTGTATCCATTGTATCCACTGTATCCACTGTATCCACTGTATCCACTGTATCCAGTGTACCCTAGTGTATCCACTGTATCTACTGTATCCACTGTATCCTAGTGTATCCTAGTGTATCCAGTGTATCCACCGTATCCTAGTGTATCCACTGTATCCTAGTATATCCACTGTATCCAGTGTACCCTAGTGTATCCACTGTATCCACTGTATCCTAGTGTATCCTAGTGTATCCTAGTGTACCCACTGTATCCACTGTATCCTAGGGTATCCACTGTAAAGATGCTACCGAAGTTCTGATTGTCAGTAATAAAACAAGGACTCTCGTACTGGTTGCTCAGTCATTTCGACCGGCATGGCTACAAGGTCGTGTTGACTTTCGTTAGAGATGGTATAGTTCTGAATAGAACAGTTTGAACCCAGTGGGGTATTCCGCCAGAATTTAGGTAAGGGTGTTCCGCTGGGATTCTGAAACGGGTACCCTGTTTATGACAAAAAAATCAAATTTGTAGACCCTGTTTATGACAAAAGATATAATTAATTGCACTGAGTTCCTGTTTCGATTATCATGTCATCTCTCGTATCGCTTTTTTACGACCATGATAACCAGTTTCGGTCAATATGAAAGTAGAAACCCTGAATATGACAAGAAACTCGGGAAGAACTTGGAACTTGAGTGAAATTGCATACCCTGTTAATGACAAGAAGCTCGAGAAACCATACCCTGTTCAGCGGATCATCCCTGTATAGTCCATATATGGGAGTACCCCCCCCCCCCGGGAGTTTGAATAGCAAGACCGGTTTCGATAACTGTGATAGCTACCTTCGTCAGCAGTTGCTTTGATTTTTAAAATCAAAAAAATGTGCCTGCGTAAGCAAGTCCCTTTGGACATCTACGTTTCAGGCTGAGCTGAAGGATTATTCTACAAGTCCACAAGCAACTCACAAACATTACCATCTTTATTGCTAAACCAACAACTTAATTCAAGTAATTGATCAATTACACGCGGCTCTGTTGACGCTTCATTGCTACCAAAGTGTTCTGCAAACGGATACTAGTGTAAACAATACATTGAATAGGAAGAAAAAAWTTTTTTTTTACAAATGATAGTATTTGTCAACACATTGAACGTAGTAGCTGGGCAGTGGCAATATTTATGAACCAGGATTATGAATAGAATACAGTGGATACACTGAATACACTGGATTCGGTGGATACACTAGATAACGCTTAATACAGTGGATATACTAGGTAACACTAGGATACTGTGGATAGTCTAGAATGCACTAGGATACACTGGAAACAGTGGATACAGTGGATACACTAGGATACAGTGGATACACTAGGATATAGTGGATACACTAGGATACAGTGGATACACTAGGATACAGTGGATACACTAGTATACACTAGGATACAGTGGATACAGTGGAAACAGTGGATACACTAGGAAACACTAGGATACAGTGAATACAGTCGATGCCAAGGGCGGATCCAGGGGGGAGCAAGGGGGGCTGAACCTCCTGCCCCCATCCCCCCCCCCCTTCAGCAGAAAAAACGATGCTTTGTTATGTTGTTTTCCGTTGTTTTGACGGAAGAAACTCAATTTCATAAAATAATTAAACCACAACGCACTATTTGACCCATAGGTATTCGTTATAAGAATAGGTAGAATTCTAAATGAATTGCTAGCACATAACGCAGCTAGGGAAACAAAGATTTAAAGTAATTTTGAACTTTGACCGCCATGTTTTTTTTCGATGGGTCGCCGATAGTCGCCTGATGTATTTCTTCCTGCGTAATGATTGGCTGGTTTTTGATGGACTGTCAAAACGCGATCACCTGGTTCGAAAGAGCACAGTGAAGGTTATTAGTATAAATACACAGGTGATTATTGAAAATCTCGCGCGCTGATTGGTCGATAAACTCAGATTATTATTGATATATATTATTTTTATTTTAATATTTTAAATAATTTTCTATGTATTAAGAGCTTTTTATCGGTATATAATATATTACAATAAGTAATTACAATTACTAATTTCTAACGTTTACCGAGTCACACTCAACCTTACGGACGGACGGACGGACGGACGGACGGACACAACTCGATGACATAGTGGCTTCGCCTCTTCGAGGAAGTAGCCACAAAAACCGGTTCTCGTCCGATCACCGAAGTGAAACTCGGTAGGGCCAGCGTAGTACTTGGATGGGTGATCACCTGGGAATAACTGGTGCTGTAGACTTTTTTTCATTTTATTCCCATTGAGTTTTCAATTGCTTCATTTCACTTTATTCGTTC